CTAAATAATCCCAGAGTTGTTTAAAGCTAACATAAATAATCCCAGAGTTGTTTAAAGCTAACATAAATAATCCCAGAGTTGTTTGAAGTTAATATAAATAATCCCAGTGTTTAAAGTTAATATAAATAATCCCAGAGTTGTTTAAAGCTAACATAAATAATCCCAGAGTTGTTTTAAGTTAACATAAATAATCCCAGAGTTGTTTTAAGTTAACATAAATAATCCCAGAAGTGTTTAAAGTTAACATAAATAATCCCAGAGTTGTTTGAAGTTAACATAAATAATCCGAGAATTGTTTGAAGTTAATATAAATAATCCCAGAGTTGTTTAAAGCTAACATAAATAATCCCAGAGTTGTTTTAAGTTAACATAAATAATCCCAGAGTTGTTTTAAGTTAACATAAATAATCCCAGAAGTGTTTAAAGTTAACATAAATAATCCCAGAGTTGTTTAATGTTAATATAAATAATCCCAGTTGTTAGAAGTAAATCTAAATAATCCCAGAGTTGTTTAAAGTCAACAAATAATCCCAGAAGTGTTTAAAGTTAACATAAATAATCCCAGAGTTGTTTAATGTTAATATAAATAATCCCAGAATTGTTTAAAGTTAACATAAATAATCCCAGAGTTGTTTGAAGTTAACATAAATAATCCGAGAGTTGTTTGAAGTTAATATAAATAATCCCAGTTGTTAGAAGTAAATCTAAATAATCCCAGAGTTGTTTAAAGTCAACAAATAATCCCAGAAGCGTTTTTGAAGTTAACATAAATAATCCGAGAGTTGTTTAAAATTAATATAAATAATCCCAGTTGTTAGAAGTAAATCTAAATAATCCCAGAGTTGTTTAAAGTTAACATAAATAATCCCAGAGTTGTTTAATGTTAATATAAATAATCCCAGAATTGTTTAAAGTTAATATAAATAATCCCAGAGTTGTTTGAAGTTTAAACTGTCGGCTCTGAGTGGTTAATGTCTTTAAATGATTCATCTTATTTTAAAACCAGCTGATATAAAATAATCTCATAATTTCATCAGTTCAGATTAAATAAAATCTGAACAGATCTGTCGGTTTCTGCTGATAAATGTTTATAATCTCTATCATCTCTGGAAGGCAGCCCGGCAGTGACAGATAATCAGTCAAATAATCCCGGCGCTGATCTGACAGGAAGTCTAAATAAAAGAAATAAACGGGGGCGTGGCCTACCTGCGGGTCAGTTTGGAGGTCAGTTTGGAGAACAGGTTGCTGGTTCCACGGCTGCGGGTCTGGGAGAGGGGCGTGGCGTCGTGGGAAAGGGTGGGGGAGGCGGGCGGTCCGTTGTAGGTGGCGGTGCGGCGGTCTCTCAGCTGCCCACCGTGGAAGGTGCTGCGGCTCGCCGTGCCCCGGGGGAAGCGGAGGCGGTCGGGCGTGGTGGCGTTGGAGACGCTGTGGGTCGACGCCACCGGGTTCCTCTGACCGCCGGGCGACACGGCGACGCTGGAGGAGGAGGAGGAGGA